TGATGGTTGATCATTAGATGGGTGGTCTTAATGGGTGGTCCTTGAGCGAGCGATGCTGGGATGATGCTGCTTCTGAGGGAGGGGGAGGGCCGGGATGGAGTTGGGTGGGCGAGGAATCGGGGGAGGTGAGAAGAGGGAGGGACGGGGGGGTGGGGGAAGGGAAGCGCAGGCTGGAATGGGGAAGGGGGAAGACAGGATCTAGTTTTGAGGCGCCTCAAAACTAGGGGGGACGGGGGTGGGGGAAGGGAGAACAGGCTGGAATGGGGAAGGGGGAAGACAGGGATGGGTGAGGTTCGAGCGGAAGGCAAAAGAGGAAAGGCGGAGAGGGACAGGAAGCTAGTTTTGAGGCGCCTCAAAACTGGAGAGGGGACAGGAAGCACGCGAGACGGTCGAGGAGGTGCGTGCGGGTGAGTTTGCAGGTGTTTTTGAGAATTCTAAAAAATACCGTGAGCAAACCAAGAGTCGACGAATCTGAAACTTACAATGCGCGCCATCATCTCTGCGCAAGACACCATTTTTCTTGGTTTGGTGTGCCGCACGTTGCCATCGAAGGGCATGAAGTCGATGAATCTCACGCTGATAGGGTGGTGGTCCCTAGTCACCTCTTCCCCACTCGAGAGACACACAATGCGCCCATCACCTTAGGGTGCGAAACCAACTCTTCCGTGCACCATACATAGCCGCTGACAAGGCTCAAGGCGGGTTCTGAGTCGACTCAAAAGCAGAACCTTAGGGAATGAAAACATCTCTTCCGTGCACGGTGCAACACCATACATTCCCGCTGACAAGGCTCAATTCAGGCCCTGGTCACCCTTCCCCCACCCAAGAGATTGAGAGATTGAGACTCACAATGCGCGCCATCATCTCGGCATATGACACCATCTTCTTGGTCTTCCACACATTGCCGTCAAAGGGCATGAACTCGATGAATCGCACGTTGATGGGGCGGTCCCTCGTGAGCGCCACAAAGTCCAGAATCTCGTCGTCGTTCACACCGCGCATCACCACACAGTTGAGCTGCAGGGGGCGCAGTGAGGGATGGGGGGGGGGGGGGGGAGGGGGGGGAGGGAGAGACAGGAATGGAGGCATTGATGGGCGGTCCCTCGGTGAGCGCCACAATGTCCAGCAGATCGTCGTCGTTCACACCGCGCATCACCACACAGTTGAGCTGCAGGCATGGTGGTCCGTGGCTTAACCCCTGACAGCTGAGATTTCACGATTACTGCTTTATTTCCTGTCACTGAATCCACTGAAGGCAATCCTTTCCCACAATTAGCGGCTTAAAGCCCAGGTCTAGTGCCACGTCAATGGCCTTGAGGAGAATGCGAGCGTGACCCTTTCTCTGTGTGAGCTGCTCGAACTTGGGCTCCATAAGTGTGTCCAGAGTCCAGACTCACGTCTAACGTGTAATCCCCTCCCCTGGTATGGTATGGACTTCTCACCTTCAGCGGTTTGAACCCCAGGTCTAGTGCCATGTCAATGGCCTTCAAAACGCGCGCGTGCCCCTTTCTCCGTGTGAGCAGCTCGAACTTGGGCTCCACGAGCGTGTCCAGGCTGACGTTTAGGTGAGAGACGCCCGCTGCTTTAAGCGCCGGCATCTTGGCTGGCAGCAGAATGCCGTTGGACGTCATGGCCAGGCTCTTAAGTCCTGGAGATACGGGTTGGACGATGGACACGGCAGGAATGCGTTACTGGGAGTAAGAGAGGTTGAGTTGGGGCCATGCAGCAGACATCCGCTGCTTTCAGTGCCAGACGATACGAGTATGCGGGACCTTCCAAGGTACATGACCCGCTGCACCTCCGCTGGGAGGGAGGAGTATGCCATTCTTTTAGGGAACTGTGAACAGTATGCCATACAAGGTCATGGCTAGGGACCTTGAACCCTGGAGGGACAGGGTGGATTTTTTGAGGCGCCTCAAAAATCGTCTCTTGAGCCCTGGAGGGACAGGGTGGTTGGTTGGTGCGGAAATGCAGAGGGTGAATCTATAAGTGCGCCTAAGAAGCCTAATGCTAGACGAGGGTTAGGGGGTGGGAGAGTAAGGTTGGTTGGAGTCAAATGCGAATGCAAAAAAGTGACTTGTGAGTCAACTCGAAAGCCGGACGCCATGGCTGGGGCTCTTGAGCCCCGGCAGGCAGGTAGACTCGCACCAGCGTCAGCAGAATCAGCAGCGTCAGCAGGATGGGAGTGGGAAGGGGAAGAGCGATGCCAGTGTTGATTATTCACCCAAGAGCCAGTTATGGGTAGAAGGCATGCAAGTGAGCGCGCGGCCAGGTGTTGGACTCCACACCTGAGGTGATTTTTGAGGCAACTAAAAAAACACCAGGAGCCAGGTAAGGGTACACGGCATGCGAGAGTGAGTGCACGGGTGACCGACTCCACACACCAGGCCGTGCAGTCAATCGCAATGGTGCAGAGCGTGAGTGGCAGATAGATCATAGATGCATGCACCGATGCCTCGTTGTCGAACCATGGGTTCATGCCATGCCATGTGATATCAGCATGCCATGAGCATATCAGCTCGTGACGTGTGGGTCTACCATGGTGGAACATCAGCATATCAGCCTTCATCAGCATGCCATGTGTATATCAGCTCGTGACGTGTGGGTCTGTGCCTGATTGATAGAGACCATACATGGCAGTGCAGAGGGCGAGCGGCATATGCAAACACAACTCGTTTGTTCACTGCAATGCCATTTTGTGTCCGTTCAGGTCACGCACGAGTGGGTCACGACTCGCGCCTTGCCAGTTTGCTGCCCGATGGGCCGCCTACCTGGCAGTGCGGAGAGCGAGTGGCAAGTGTCACCAACGCTCGTCTAACCATGGGTTCATGACATGAGTATATGACTTGACAGTATATGGGCCCATGACTATGACAGTACATGGGCCCATGACTTGTGAGTTCGCACCTGTCCGATAGAGTGTGCCTACCTGGCAGTGCGGAGAGCGAGTGGCAGATGTCCACAATGTCTCGCCTGACTGTGGGTTCGCCCCCTGTCAGCCTGATTTTACTCACGCCTTGAGACACGAACACAGACGCCAGGCGGATTATTTCCTCCGTCGACAGAAGGTTCCTGGAAGCAGGAAAACAGGTGGGGCACAGAGGAAAATTTTGAAACGGAAGGGTTAGAAAGGGGAAAAAACCAGCAGGGAGAGGTAACCCTGCTGGGGGAGGTAACCTATTGGTTATATAGGCCTTCAGCTGGTATGCAGTAGGAGCCAGCGCAGGTTGCACCTCTCAGTGAGGAACAGGTTACATTGCAGCAATCCGTGGTTACCACCGTGGCCCATGGTTACTACCGTGGTTACCACTCACTCTTTGGGCGTGAGCTCCACGCCTTCGGCTGGCATCCAGTAGGAGCAGCGAAGGTTGCACCCCTCCGTCAGGGACTCATTCCATAGTTGCACATTCTGAGCAGCGTAAATGTGTAACCACGGCACCATTCGTGGTTACCACTCACTCTTTGGGCGTGAGTCCACCCCTTCGGCCGGCATGCAGTAGGAGCAGCGCAGGTTGCACCTCTCCGTGAGCGATATCCGCAGGTAGCTGTGCTGCCGCCCAAAGAGTCTGTCAAAACATCCGTCACCTCCTCATTCCCAGCGATACCAGCCTCAGCATAGCAGCCTTAGCCCTAGCAGCTCTCGCCATCACATGACTTCCAGCTACAGCAGCATCACCTAGATTTCGCGAAAGAGTCCCAGCCCCAGCCAAGCCAGCTCTGGACTCTTCATTCCTAAAGCCCGCATTTTCCACTTCCGCTGCACTCTGCTGCTTCCCTTGGCCCACCGCCTCTCCGCCCCGCTCCGCTCCCTCTCCCCTCCGCACTCCCCTCCGCTCTCCCCTCCGCTCGCCCTTTCCTTCCGTTTCTCCGCATTTCCCCTCCTCCTCTCTTTCCTCCCCTTCCACGTCACCCTCCTCCTCCTCTTCCTCCTCCTCTTCCTCCTCCTCCTCCTCCTCCTCTTCCTCCTCCTGAACCGCCCGCGCAGCCCGCAAGGCTCGCAGCATATCGCTGCTGATGCTGGTGCTGCAGCTGGTGGGGCGTCTTGTCGCGTTGCTGCTGGTGGGCTGTCATGTCGCGTACTAGCGCGGGTTGTGAACTTGCGGGGATGAGAGGGGAGTGATGGAAGCGGCTGTGGAGGAACGGGAGGAAGAAATCCAAAGTCGGCGCATGCAGGGCGAACGATGAGGGTCCAAAGGTCCGCATGGGAATGAGCCATAATCAGCCCCGGAGGCCCTGTGATCTATGATTAGTGGACTATTGTTCCGACATTCATGAGCGACGTCGCGGCATGCCACGCTGGCATCGCCGCCGTACGGCGGCAGCGCGTCGATTCGGTCCCGATGCGACAGGAAGCGGAATGTCGCAATGTAACAGCTGGATCGGATCGTTGCTCTCTGAAATAGGTTTCCGCCGAGGTCTTCGTGATCGGTTTCGCGATAGGATGCGCGATTCGACAGCAGCAGAAAGGCTTCGCGTCCGGGAGATGCTTTGCTCTGCGAAGAAGGAATCGCTGGCGCCATGCGACTCCGGAGCGTCGCACGCTGCGAGCGACGTACGGGAGAAGCAGTCGCGAAACGCATGCGACTGCGTGTCGATACTGCTGCGGTGGCTGGCCATGGCCAGCCGAGGGGCATCGACGCGGGTAACATCGGCGTATGGCGGGAGGAGAACAATCTAGAATCAATTTCAGTCAATTGCAGTCAATTCCTGTCAGCTAAGGGTACGATATGTTGTTGAGCTGATGGCACAACGGGCAAGAAACGAGAATAGGCTCCAAGGCCTTTCGAGCAAACGGGTAGAGGTAGTGCATAAGCTGCAAACGCTCTTATGCATCGAGCGCTGCTTCACAAGCAAAACGACTGCTATGGCTGTCGCGAATGGAATGGCTGTCGCGAATGCAATGGCTGTCGCGAATACAATGGCTGTCACGAAACCTCATCAAAGCTATTGGAAGGAGCTGAGGTGACAAATCAAAGCTCATGGAAGAAGAGAGCTGTTGCCAGAGATGACGATGCTGCGAATCGGGACAACCATATGTCCAGAGCACCACCGCCATCGCTCGGGGAGGGAGGGAAGGAAGGAGGCCTTGAAGGAACAGAGTGGCTAAACCGAGCCACGGCAGCCCGTCCCTTGAGAACTGCGAGCAGCAGTTGCATCCGCTGCCTGATGCGGCGTGCCACGTGGATAGGGCCGTGGTGATGAGGCAATTCGGGCAGTTTGGGCTCGCGCTGGGTTCCTTCCCGGTTCCGTCGAGGGTTGCTTGGCTCTTAGTGAGGTGTTAAAGTTGAGCCCGTGTCATCCCACGTCATCCTCTGACACGATACGTATTGCAAGTGGAGGGGCCACTTTATTGACCAATGAAACGAGGTTGCTGAAAGCACGCGATTAAAGGGTAGTGGCGATGGAGAGCTATTTCCTTGATCATTGGGAGCATGTCGAGTCAGCTTTGGCGATTCGCGCTCCCAAGCAACACTGAACCTAGCACAAATGAAACCGTACCGTTGTGCTGAGAAGGGGGGTTCTATTTCCAGCAAATTTTCCAATAGTTTCTCTAGTCTATAATGAATGTATTGTGAGACTTCTATGGACTCTCTTTCTCAAGTAGCTTGGGCAACATGTTAATTCTCTAAACACCCCTATAGTTCTTAATCAGATCCGGAATCTCAAAACTACATAGAAAAGGAGCACCACAATTTCCTAAAAAACTTCATTCTCATTCATCCATACTCAGCACCCTCTCTTTCCGCTATGCATCAACGATAAGCTTTAAAACTCGACCCAGAATCAACCTCTTCCATTTCCTAACGGACCAGAGGTGGTTTAGGGTTTAGGGTTTAGGGTTTCTGGTTTAGGGTTTAGGTTTTATTAAAACCCTATCTGAGCCTGTTTAAGGTCTTTCATCGAGGCACTACCGGAGGTGATTATACAACGTAAATGGGTATTTATCTCTCGAATAACCATCATTGGGAGTGATGACGTAAACAGTAATACGTATGGCGCGATTGTACCATCAGATCAGATTTACCTCACCGTGGTGCCAATTATCCCTCCACGGTAACGAAAAATTTGCGGCGTCCCAGCGAGGTACCAATTATCTCTTAATTGTAAGAACCAGTTCGCGACGCATTCGCTAAATAATAACCCAGCCTTTCGACATTTTTGAACTGCCCCCACATTAGTAATTATGCGTTATATGAGCATCTCATACAAGCTTTCTTTTATAAAACCAATTTTTCAACTCAGATATGAACGAAATGAAAGATGTTCTATCATTATTAGGAGTAGAAATCAGCTCCGGTGGAAAATATTAGTATGATAAAAAATGATATAGTTCAAAGATATTTTTAGATATCTCTTGTATAATGGCATAAAACAAAACTTCAATATGACTAGCTTGTTTACTAGCGATCGTATCACAAATCTTGGTTTACCCTAAAATGACTAGAGAAAGCTTTCTCAAGTTCATATAAAATGACAAGAGTATGGGATTAGAGTCAAGGGAAACCTTGATCGCCATACACCTAAACAATGTAGCTTTTTCATATTGGCAGAATTGTTGAATTATATTCGATATAATAAATATCAGCCGCGTTAACCCCACGCCAACGATTTGTAGACAAAAGTGGTCGCAGAACTTCATTCGATATTGATTGTAACATAATATTAATATTATACATATGAAACCCTTCTTTAATTGTAGAACCTAACTACATGTCTTGCGTATTATATATTAAGAATCCCCAAATTAGCTTATTTATATTAGCATACGAATTTAGTTTCAATATAATAATTGTGCTATTTTATTATATCATGTCCATATGAGTCAGCACTTTGGTTTCAAGATTAAAATTATGGAAAAATACATCGGCGCTCAGTATTAGGGGCCTTGAGAACATGTAAGGTCAGTGACACGATATGAACAATCAGAACTAGTGAGTTCGCAACATGTTTCATCTGTCGGGTTCCACCGTTAATCACAAACTACAGGAAAAAAATTACACGAATGGTCAGTAGAAGTAACCCTCGCCCGTTTCGGAACGTTTTCCCGGCCGCGCCAGCTCGATTTCGTCACCATTGTGGCGGGCGCGATATTTTTCCCGAGGTCCAAGCGCAGTTCGAGCAAAACAAAACAATGGTCCCAAATTAAAAATCGTTGGACATTTGTTACTCTAGAAACACGAAAACACGATTTTGTTTCGAAGCACATACTTTTGTTACAGAGTGTAGCGCATCCCGCCATGATAAAAAATGACAGCTTTGTATCTACCGCATTTACGGCCAAAAAAAAAAAGTCAAGCCATAAACTTGTCATTCCCGAGTCGCCCGAAAACAAAGCATATATAGATAGCTACGAAGGTTTATTTTCGGGAAATGAATATATTTGAAAACAATTTAAGGTGCTTTCAGAATTGTATTTAATCGTGTATTAATTTTAGTACAACGAATCTATTAGAAGTCTGTCAGTTGTCTTTTGATTTTTTCAACAAATGTATTTACCAGAAAAAAAATTCCGCCGAATTACGAATCTACAGATCTTGTCATGCTCGAAACAAATTAGCGCACGCGCACTACGGTTTAATTTTTACGGCCCAATTAGCTTATGTGACAGAAATGCGCGAGGTCTCAATTTTAGAATTTTGTGTGCGCGAAGTCCAGCGATTTTTAATTTGGGAATAATTTACGTAGTTCTCTCGAATTGCACTTGGAGCTTTAAAAAATATCGCGCCAGCCACAATGATGAGGAAATTGGGCTGGCGCGAGCGGGAAAACGTTCCGAAACGGGCAAGGGTTACTTCTACTGACCATTCGTGGAACTTTTTTTCTGTAATTTGTGACTAACGGTGGACCTGACTGATGAAACACGTTGCGAACTCACTAATTCTGATTGTTTATATCGTGTTACTGACCGTACTGTTATCGAGGCCCCTAATACTGAGCGCCGATGTATTTTCCCTAAAATTATTGTATGAGACACTCCAATAACGTATAATCGCCGATGTTGGCGCAACTCATAAATGTTGAAACGATGGGTTACTATTGCGCCATGTGTGTTACTACTGACTTCATCACCTGTGAAGATGGTACTCAGAAGATAAATACTCTCACGAGAATGCTATGAGGTGACTGTATCACAAGAGCAGGAACAGCGCAGAGTGACGCAGCCCCCAGTCAGCATTCTCTCGATTCAACCCCACCCCATCCACGCCAATCCGCATTTCACGGCAGTCCACCTCATCCTCTCTCAGCTCGCAGGTAGCCACGCACAACCGCAACCTGCGACTGTCTCGCATGCAGCCACCGATATGGCGGCTGTCGACTTACAGACAGCACTGGCATTCTGGCCACGTGGAGCAGCACTGTCCCGAAATATTTCCTGGCGAAGTGGCAGTTCTTCGCTCTTCACATTGCGTGCACTCCCGGAACTGTAGGCATAAAACCTAAGGAAAAAACTTTTCGGTTGGCATGGCAGTGACTATACGACGCAAATGGGTATTTATCTCTAGGATAACCATCATTGAGAGTAATGATATCAAGAGTAATACATATGACGCGATTGTACTATCAGATCAGATTTACCCAAGCGTGGTGCCAATTATCTCTCCACGGTAACAAAAAATCTGCGGCGTCCTAGGGAGGTACCAATTATCCCTCAAATGGTAAGAACTAGTTTGCGATGCATTCGGTAATCATGCGTTCTACGAGCATTCTATACAAGCTTTTATTTGTGAGATCAATTTATCAAATCATATATGAACGAAATGAATTATTTTCTACCATTATTTCAATAGCAATAGAAATCAGCTCCGATGAAAAATATTAGTGTGATTAAAAAAACACGATATAGCTCAACTATATTTTTACATATCTCTTTTATAGTGGCATTAAACAACATTTCAATATGAGCAACTTGTTTACTAGGATCCGTATGGCAAGTACGCTGGTTTACCCTAAAATAACAAGAGAAAGCTTTCTACAGTTTATAGAAAATAACAGAAGGATAGGGTTAGAGTCAATGGGAACCTTGATTGCCATACACCTAAACAATATAGCTTTAAAATATTGGCAGAATGTGTTAAATTATATTTGATAGAACAAACATCAGCTTCGTTAACCACACACTAACGATTTATGGACAAAATTGGGCATTAAACTTCATTCAAGACTGATTTGTAGCATAAATGTTAATATTGTACCTATGAAACCCTTCTTTAATTGTAGCCCCTAACTGTTTGTCTTGAATATAATATATTAATATTCCCCAAATTATTTGATTTATATCGGTATACGGATTTAGTGTCATAGTAATAATTGTGTTATTTTTATTATGTCGTGCCCATATGAGTTAACACTTTGGTTTCAAGATAAATCTTTTTGTATGAGACTCTCCAATAACGCATAATTGCCCATGTTGGTGCAACTCGGAAATGTTGAAACGATGGGACCCATCAGGGAATGCGCCGCGAACTGTTCGTTACCATTGAGGAATAATTGGTACCACACCGGGGTAATGCTGAAATGAGTATTATCATCCCGCCATGTGTGTTACTTCTGACGACATCACCCCTGATGATGGTACTCAAAAAATAAATACTCTCACGAGAATGGTATGAGGTGACTTTATCACAAGAGCAGGAACAGCGCAGAGTGACGCAGCCCCCAGTCAGCATTCTCTCGATTCAACCCCACCCCATCCACGCCAATCCGCATTTCACGGCAGTCCACCTCATCCTCTCTCAGCTCGCAGGTAGCCATGCACAGCCGCAACCTGCGACTGTCTCGCATGCAGCCGCCGATATGGCGGCTGTCGACTTACAGACAGCACTGGCATTCTGGCCACGCGGAGCAGCACTGTCCCGAAATATTTCCTGGCGAAGTGGCAGTTCTTCGCTCTTCACCTTGCGTGCACTCCTGGGTTTCCAAGGTCACTCTGACTCACTCGGAGACGACGGCCGTCTCCGAGTAATACGTTACGCTTTCAACACCTCCTTCAAGCCACTCCTTGTTCACGCGAGACACAACTCAAAAGGGTCAACAGAAGCCTTTCATTCAGAAGGTTTTGTCAATTCTAATCCGTCTTCGCTCAGTCGCTAAATCTGGTGCTCAGGTATCTTCAAATCGTGAGGCTACCTACGAGCGTAGTGCGCTCACGTGAGATTCTTACGATTGGGAAATGACGTCTACTTCAAGTCATGGAGGATTTCCTTGCGTGTAGCGGTTCGCCCTATACCGAGTTCCTTTCTCCGCGTGGCGTGCTCACGACGCTCCGCTGCTCCCGAGGCCTCGACCGCGCGGACTCCGTCGAAGCGGCCTTCGAGATCCCCTCAGTCACGCTGTCCGCGGTAGAAGCATCCTCGGTGCATCTGCAGCTTCAGAAGAACCAAGAAAGAGGCGTTGAGGAACAGTTTATGCTTGAATGTTTGGACGACGGCGAGCAGATGGTGCTGGTTACCAGGAAAACGTCGCAGGTCACGACCGTGGTGAACCTAGGGATTGACGACGACGGCCCTGAGGGTTTCACGAGCACGTCCAACGTGCTCAACGAGTCTGATACAAGCACATCCGTTGCAACCGCAACGGCTTTGAGCACGTCAGGTGCAGGGAGGCGAGAATCAGCGCGAGAGGAGGAGGTTTTAGCCGACGCATCAGAAACAAAGTCCCGCGAGAGCAGCTACGGTGCTCGCGGTGGTGGTGATAGCGCTGATGGCGAATCCCAAACGAAGTTACAACCAGATCCGCGAAGGGACTTACAATCCGATTCGCAAGCCTCTTCGGAGGTCACTGAACAGCGTCACTCGCGACAGGACCAGGAGCCTCTCCAGGGTTCAATCGCAGCCGCCAGATCTCAAGCAACGGCTGCGATCTCGTCATTACGTCCAGCTCTACAGGCCGTGAGGAAGATATGGAGGAGCGAAGAGGCCAGTGAGAGAGGAAATGGAGCTGTGGAGCGAAGAGGGTTCCATGGTGGGGAGGGTGGCTGGAATGATGAGGTTGGAGTTAGGGGAGATGAGGGGGATGGAGATGAGGCGTTGGAGGGAGGCGATGTGGTTCTGAAGCCCATGAGTGCAGCCATGAGTAACACGGTGAGGAGGATCATAAAGAGTTGTGTGTGTCAGGCTACGGGTGTTTTTCTTTTCTTTCCTTTCTTTTCTTTTCTTCTCTTTTCTTCTCTTTTCTTTTCTTTTCTTCTTCTTATTCTTAAGATCGTCTTGGGCGTTTCTACCATCTTCTCATACTTGTCGGGGACCACCTCTCTTCTTCAGCTGTGCCTCTTGTCTGCTCTCTATGCAGGTGTACGAATGCGTGTGGCTGCCTCACAGGCAGAGCAGGATGATTGAGATCGAGAAAGACGAGAAGGATAAGAAGAAAGAAAACGAGAAGGAGAAGGATTATTTAGGCGAGAAGAGGGTGTTGGTGCGGCTGTACGGCCCGGCAGCATCGATGCTGCTCAAGAGGGAGCACGAGGAGGCAGTCACCCGAGCCATGTCGGACCTAGGCTTGGGACCGAAGCTGCTGGCCTCGTTCGGCACTGGCAGGGTGGAGCAGTTTCTCCAAGCCAAGGTGGGTGGTAGTCGGCTCGGCGCGTGAACACCGCGTCATTTTTTGGGCCGTGGAGTTGGTTTGGGACTTGAACGCTTGTTCATGCAGGTGTTGGGAAGGCCTGCACGCTTTTGAGATTTCTCTCGCACCCTTAGCACTTGCCTCATTCCTGCCCTTTGCATGTCGCTCCCCCCTGGCACAGCCGTTGACAGCAACGGACATGAGGCGGCCAGAGACATCCCAGCAGATTGCACAGTGCATGAGGCGCTTCCATGCGCTGAAGCTTCCTGGAAGCACACCTGAGGATATGGTTTCGTGCCTGTGGTCGCGCCTTCGGTAGGTCCCTTTCTTGCCTGATGGTTTGGTGGCTTGAATGGCTGGGGGGCTTGAATGGCTGGGGGGCTTGAATGGCTGGGGGGCTTGATGGCTGGGAGGCTTGAATGGCTGGGGGGCTTGAATGGCTGGGAGGGGGGGGATATGCACAGGCTGGCGCCAGCATAGCAATGCTGCTTCCCTTCGTTGCTTTCTCCCAATCCTGCCCCCCCCTCCCCCTCCTCCAGTCGCTGGCTCTCTCTGGCGCAGCTGCTGCACCCGTGGGGGGTGCACGGGGCCAATCCTCGGCAGCTGGGGGAGAAGATTCAAAGGCTGGAGGAAGAAGCCGAGCGAAGATGGGGGGAGAGAGGAGGGGAGGGAGAGGGAGGGGAGGAGAAGGGGTGTGGGCGGTGGTTGGGGCTGTGTCACATGGATGTGCAGCATGGGAACATTCTGAGGGAGAACGACACGGGGAGAATCGTACTCATTGTAAGCAGCTTTGCTAACCAGGTGACTTTTGAGTCGACTCAAAGGGAGGGGAGGAGAAGGGGTGTGGGCGGTGGGTGGTTGGGTCTCTGTCACATGGATGTGCAGCATGGGAACATTCTGAGGGAGAACGACACTGTGAGGATCGTACTCAGTAAGCAATTTTGTTCACATGGTATGGTGCCTGTGTGGAAGGAATCCGTCCCTTCCATATTCCTATCCTCAACTTTCCGCACCTTCCGATCGTACCATCCCCCCTGGCAGCATCCCACCCAGGGCTACAAATATAGTGCCTTGGGGCATTGGAGTGGTACAGTGGTTGCGCGCATGTGGCATTGGGCATCACGCACCAATTGTCTTGTCGCCTTCATCCTCGCTTCCTATCAGCTTCCCCTGCCTTCCCATCCTACCATCTCGTTTCGAGGTGACTTTTGAGTCGACTCAAAAGTCTCCTCGCTTCCTATCAGCTTCCCCTGCCTTCCCATCCTACCATCTCGTTTCGAGGGGACTTTTGAGTCGACTCAAAAGTCTCCTCGCTTCCTATCAGCTTCCCCTGCCTTCCCATCCTACCATCTCGTTTCGAGGTGACTTTTGAGTCGACTCAAAAGTCTCCTCGCTTCCTATCAGCTTCCCCTGCCTTCCCATCCTACCATCTCGTTTCGCCCCCCCTTCCCACCCTCCCTTTCCCACCATCCCAGAACTACGAGCACAGTGGCTGACGTACACGTGGCATTTGACATCTCCAACCAGTATTGCCCTATTTTCTCCTCGATCCACTCACTTTCCCGCGGCCCACTCACTTTCCGGCGCTCCACTCACTTTCCCGCGGCCCACTCACTTTCCGGCACTCCACTCACTTTCTCACGCTCCACTCACTTTCCCACGCTTCACTCATTTTCCCACGCTCCACTCACTTTCCGGCGCTCCACTCACTTTCCCACGCTCCACTCACTTTCCTGCGGCCCACTCATCCTTCCAACCGATCCTGTTACCTTCTCAGCATCCCAGGACTACGGCAACATTGGCTATGCTCAGCTCACTTGTGTCCGTTGCATTCTCCATCCTTTTCTATTCCGTCATCCTTTCTACTCCCCCTCGCACATCCCCATCGCCACTATCCCACTATCCCAGGACTACGAGTACGGTGGCTATGCCCACGTGGCGTTTGACATTGCAAACCCCTTGTGCCTTCTGCCAAACCTCCCCCCCCTCTATTTATTTTCATCCTCCCTTCCTTCCCCCTCCTTCCACTACCCCGCTATCCCAGGACTACGAGTACAGTGGCTATGCCCACGTGGCGTTTGACATGGCCAACCACTTCTGTGAGATGGCAGCCGACTATGACAGCCCTCAGCCTCACCTCCTGGACTACAGCAGGTACCCTTGTGAGTATGTATGTAGCCCTGTGGGATTTCATGTGCCACTCTCAGCCACCCTCAGCCCTGTGGGACTTGATGTAGCCTGAAGCAGCCAACGATGACAGCCCTCAGCCTCACCTCCTGGACTACAGCAAGTACCCTTGTGAGTGTTTTTGTTGCCCTGTGGGACTTCATGTGCCACTCTCAGCTTGTGCTCCTGGCCTGGCCTGTGGCAACCAGATGTGACAGCTCACAGCCACACCTCCTAGACGACCAGGAAAGCCCTTGTGAATTATACCCTGCTGTGTGTTCTTGTACCCCTTCAAAAGTGACTTCTCGCGCCTTCTTTCATCGTGTGACAGCTCAACACAGCATGTGACAGTTCAACACAGCATGCAACACAGTCACAACACACATGCACTGTCTAGACACTCACCAGCGTTCAACCCACCACGCCATATATTGACCCACACTCACACAACCCCCTCGCTGGCCCCCAAACCCTTGGCTGGCCCCAACCCCTCATCCCCATTCTTGCCAGCTGAGGACGAGCAGCGGTGGTTCATCGACAGCTATCTCGCCACCAGGCCTTCCCATACCTGTCCCAACCTCTGCTTTGATGCTGAAAGCAGCTCCAGCTACAGTGGTCTCCCCCTTACAAGCAGCCTTGATGCCAGTGACGCGGAGGGGCTTATGCAAGCTGTGGATGTGTTTCTTCCAGTATGCCATCTGCATTGGTTCCTCTGGGGCATCATTTCGGTACGTCATTTTAGGCTTTGTAGACGGTGCTTATGATTTGTGCTGCCCTCGTCTTGCGTTTGACAGTTTCTTTCAGAATGCAGTGATGTCAGAATGCCATGTCAAGCCAGTCTATTCTGTTTGCTCTACCCTTTTCGCACCTGATGACTTCTCACGGCAGGCGGCAGTCTCAGATGCTGGTTTTGACTACATGGCGTATGCACAACAGCGGCTGCATGAATTTTGGAAGTGCATGGGTCACTTTGAAGCTGTCTTTGCAGCTTTGTTCTGATGGGCTCCTCAGTAGCATAGCTGTGTGCATGTTGACATTGACGCATTGTAATGATTGGATGGATGCCTAGTTGTATTCGAAGGTAATACATTGGTAGAGAGTTCCTTCTTGCTGTTCCATGAGTGGTTCGTAACAGTGCGTTTCGCAAAACCATTCATGTGCGACTCCTCGCCGACACGGTTTGCGCTGTTGGCTTGGAATTTTTGTGACGGTGGCTGTGAATTCATCCGAATTTTGTGGGATGACCTGTCAACGAAAAATCAGAAATGCATCCGATGTTTTACCGTCAGCCAACATCGCAACTTCCTCGTAGCTAAAAACATTCCAGAACCTCCTCGAAAAACCGTCAACTTCTGAGGTAAAACCAGGTGTTCTGTAGCTTTGGAAACTGCGTTTCGAGGTTAGGTCTGGCGATCTCGACACCCCGAACCTACGAATAAGGTTCGTACAAAGCTGGAAGTTGCCGCTGTCGTGGAGCAACCCCAAGGCTCATCATCCCCTCCCACAACGGCCCAATGACGTGGTCATCCTTAGGGTCACACATCCGACGTGGATCGCTTTCGTGATCTCGATGGCGAATAGGATTTCAGATTCGCACTACCACGAACCCATAGTTATTGGCGACAGAATCCTGCGAACAGGATGCCTCGCCCAGCGCTGAACCCAAGCCAGAGGGCCCTCCCCAGGGATCCCACGCTCTCTGCACCCCTCTCTGTGCCCTGGGCTGCTGGTCAGGCTGGCAGCTGGTGGTTCCGCTGGCGGCAAGGCTTGATTTCTGCTGGGGCGGAGCAGTCAGGTTTTGCCCAGCCTGCTCCCCCTTACCGCTTCCCCTTGCCCAGTCACCAGTATGACATCTGCTTGACACGCTCCTGATCTCTTTATCTCACGGCAGCCATAGCTTGTCGACGAGCTCTCCTCGTGCCATCCTTGCCCGAGGAAAGCTAACCGTTGAAAGTTCAACTTCCACGGGTTGATCGATTTTCGATCCCTTACCCAGTCGTTAGTCTTTCTTCCTGACTGGTTTGTCCCAACAAGCCCGACATGGCTTCTGTCAGCTATGTTGCTGCTCGTGGGATTTCCACCCTTCCCCGCGCGGAAGGTGTGGAGGCCTTGAAGGCCAAGGAGCAGGTTTACCTGAAGGAAAGCTCGTTGCTTGGAGAGAAGCTCAATGTCGCTCGTCGTCAGGCCGTTCCTGTCGCCAGGACTATCTCCCCTGTGTCGGCTTCTCTGTCTTCTGGCCCTCCCGGGACCCACAAGCTCCGAGCTAACAGCGCTGCTGCTCTCGAGCAACTGCGGGTCGCCAACACCAACAGTACGTTCCCAGCGTTGTGCATTAGCGTTGAACCTGTCGCAGTCTGCAATTTCCTTTTGAACGAGCCATAACGCAATGAAACACGAACCTCAGCTAACAGTGCAAATTGCTTCATCCTACCCTGGATCGTCTCAGGGTACACGAGCGAGAAGAGCAGCATCATTGTCGTCGGTCTGAGCGTCCACACCGCTCCCGTCTCGATGCGTGAGAAGCTCGCCGTCCCCGAAGCCGAGTGGCCCCGAGCCATCGGAGAGCTCTGCGAGTACCCCCACATTGAGGAGGCCGCTGTTCTGAGCACATGCAACCGCATGGAAATCTACGTCGTGGCGCTCTCGTGGCACAGGGGCATTCGCGAGGTCACCGAGTGGATGTCGAAGGTGAGCCACGTTCGCTTTGCATTCCGTACCCTTTTTCCCGAATCGGAAAGATTATTGGATGAATCCGGGAGTCTTTTCGTGGTATTAATGTTCCAACCTTTTATCCCGATTCACCCCTCTTCAGTCGAGCGGTGTTCCCGTCGAGGAGCTTCGCCAGCACCTCTTCCTTCTCCGCCAGAGGGACGCTACTCAGCACCTCCTCCGCGTCTCGTCCGGCCTGGACTCGCTGGTGCTCGGAGAGGGTCAGATCCTCGCTCAGGTGAAGCAGGTGTTCAAGGTCGGCCAGGCTGCCGAGGGCTTCGGACGCAACCTCAACGGTCTCTTCAAGCAGGCGATCGAGGCCGGCAAGCGTGTGCGTACCGAGACCAGCATCGCCTCCGGTGCCGTGTCCGTCAGCTCTGCTGCCGTCGAGCTCGCGGCCATGAAGCTCCCTGAAGCTGGGCTCAAGGAAGCCCGTGTGATGATCGTCGGAGCTGGCAAGATGTCCCGTCTCCTGGTGAAGCATCTGCTCTCCAAGGGCTGCAGCACCATGACCGTTGTGAACAGGTCCCTAGGGAGTGTAGAGCAGCTGCAGTCGGAATTCCCCGACGCCACGCTCATCTACAGGCCGCTTCCTGACATGATGCAAGCAGCTGCCGAGGCCGAGGTGGTTTTCACCAGCACGGCTTCAGAGACGCTTCTGTTTGAGGAGGCCAACGTCCAGGGCCTTCCTCCTGCTGGCGATCTCACCGACGGCGTCAGGCACTTCATTGATATCTCCGTCCCTCGCAATGTTGGCTCATGCGTCGCCAATGTCCAGCAGACCAGGGTGTACAATGTTGATGATCTGAAGGAGGTGGTTGCTGCTAACAAGGAGGAGAGGAGAAAGAAGGCCCTGGAGGCTCAGGCTATTATCGAGGACGAGCTCCAGGCCTTCGACGCGTGGAGGGATTCGCTTGAAACCGTCCCGACCATCAAGAAGCTGCGCCAGAAAATTGAGGGAATCAGGCAGGCTGAGCTGGACAGAATCCTGGCGAAGATGGGCGAGGAGCCGACGAAGAAGCAGAAGAAGCTGATCGAGGAGCTGAGCAAGGGCATCGTGAACAAGATTCTGCACGGACCCATGACCCACCTGCGGAGCGACGGCAGCGATGCGAGGACGGTCAGTGAGACGCTGGAGAACATGTATGCTCTGGAGCGGATGTTCGACCTTGCTGCTGAGGAAGCCAGCAGCCGGCGATGATTCCGTCCTTAGCTTAGACCTTACTTTTTCTCTTGTGAAACTGTAAATTAAAGTTGCACCAGTTTTGGAATCGAATGGTTTGTTTAGAATGACAACAATCAAAGGTTTTCTGTGAATCAAAATGTAGGAAAGTTCAGAATGAACAGACACCGTTGTTTTCCAATGGTGAAAGGTTCGTCGTGGGCCCTCTCTGTCCCTATCTCATCTCTGGCACAATCTCCTCTGGAACAATCTCTTCTGACAAAAAGAAAGAATTGGGAGCCATCTTTTGGAATGAGTGGCAGATGTCTCACCACTCAGTTGATGCCACCCAGTTGATCCCACTTGACCAGTGGGGAGGGAGGTGGAGGGGGGAGCCATGGGGGCTACTGGCTGCACACTTCGGCCAATGGAGAAGACTTCACACAGTCAGCAGGCTGCAGGAGGCTTGTGGGAAAGGAATATCTTCTGTACCTTTCCCCATCACTTCCAGTTTCAAGGTCTATACTACATTCCTGTACATTAGGAAAGAACAGAATCTGGAAACCAGACCTTGCTTGTGGTTTGGAGGTATTGTCAAACATGTGTATTTGTCATGTTTGTATAGACTGTATAGAGTCACCTCTTAGAGGATACAAAACTTAGATATATTTGTGTGTACTCTCACTTTACCATCATTTCAATTATTCTGTTATGGTATCAGAGCGTAGGTAGGATCCCCCCCCCCCCCCCACCTACCGCTTCCGCTCATGCCCCCTAGCGCCCCTCCTGGGCCCCGTCGCGCTCCTCCCAGGCCCCGTCGCGCTCCTCCCAGGCCCCCTAGCGCCCCTCCTGGGCCCCATCGCGCTCCTCCCAGGCCTCGTAGCGCCCCTCCTGGGCTCTTTCGCGCCCCTCCTGGGCTCCGTAGCGCCCTCCTGTGCGCCCTCCTGGGCCCCGTCGCGCCCCTCCTTGGGCCCTGTAGCGCCCCTCCTGGGCCCCGTCGCGCCCCTCCCAGGCCCCGTCGCGCCCCTCCCAGGCCCCGTAGCGCCCCTCCTGGGCCTCGTCGCGCCCCTCCTGGGCTTCGTAGCGCCTCTCCTGGGCCCCCCGTCGTGCCCCTCCTGGGCCCCGTAGCGACCCTCCTCGGCCGCGTCGTACCCGTCGCCACCGCCCGGCCCCGTCGTGCCCGCCCGGCGCCGTCGCGCCCGCCCGACCCCGTCGCCGCCGCCCGGCCCCGTCGCGCCCGCCCGGCGCCGTCGCCGCCGCCAGGCCCCGTCGCGCCCGCCCGGCGCCGTCGCCGCCGCCCGGCCCCGTCGCGCCCGCCCGGCGCCGTCGCCGCCGCCCGGCCCCGTTGCGCCCGCCCGGCGCCGTCGCACCCTGCCCGGCCCGTCGCGCTCGCCCGGCCCCGTCGCAGCCGCCCGGCCCCGTCGCACCCGCCCGGCCCCGTCGCACCCTGCCCGGCCCGTCACAGCCGCCCGGCCCCGTCGCACCAGCCCGGCCGCCGTCCCGCTCGCCCGGCCCCGTCGCACCGGCCCGGCCCTGCCGCACTCGCCCGGCCCCGTCGCCCCAGCCCGGCCCCGTCGCGCCCGCTCGGCCCCGTCGCCCCGTCCCGGCCCTGTCGCATCAGCCCGGCCCCGTCGCGCCCGCCCGGCCCCGTCGGGCCAGCCCCGGCCCCGTCCTCCTCACTCGTACGGTCCCCCCCCCCCCCCCCCCCCCCCCCCCCCCACCCCGCCCTGCTCCGTGCTGCCCTGCACCGCACTGCACCGCACTGTACCGCACTGCACCGCACTGCACCGCACTGTACCGCACAGTACCGCACTGCACCGCACTGCACCGCACTGTATCGCACTGCACCGCACCCCACCTAGCTGCACCGCCCTGCACAGCACTGGACTGTTCCTGATGGCGGCGGAGCTTCGCTTCGACGCTGAAGGTCAGCCCCTAGAGTTCGAGGCGTGGCTTGCCGACCTCCGCCGCCAACTCACTGGCCAGCGGCAGGATGGTGAACCGCTTTCCGCACACCTTGACGGTACGCTCCCCTGCCCAGACCCTCCTGCTATTCTGCCCGCTGACCCCACACCCACTGAGCGTGAGTCTACTGCTGCCACTGCCCGTGCGCGCTCTGTCTGGCTTTCTCGCGATGCTGTCGCCCAGCTTGCCATTAGCACCGCCCTCCCCCCGTCCGAGCGTCCTCGCTTTAGGTCCCTCACTACTGCTCAGGCATACTTAGATGCTGTCATCAAGCGCTAT